ATCTAGTACTAGGACAATTTATCAGTTAAAGCCTAATAAGTGCTCCAATATAATAACTTTTATCAGACTTAGACTGACAAATATATACGTAATGACAAATTTTTCAATTCTTCACCCTGGCAGATGGGCAGACAGTTTTATTTGTGAAGTACATGTTGTGTTGGGTAATGGTAGCATGAGAACAGTATAGTTTTCAGTCTTGGATAATGTTAAATTATTTTGTTATCAAATCAGTAAATTTTAGAGCAAAAACCCTCCTAGTCCAGCTCATTGACTGGGAAAAATTTTGAATTTGGGTCATAAATCCATTCATGCATCTATTCAGCATTTTATTTGTAGATAAATCTAATTTATGAAAGTGACTTCAATTCCAAATGATATCATATTACCAAAAATTGAGTCAGTGGGAAACTTTTCAAGTATTTATGTATGACTAATGTATGAAATTTCAAGTGGAACCTTACTTTCAGAGACATTCTAAGTTCATTATTAGCTAGATATAATATTGTCCCATAAATATTATTGCTGTACAGTTGGGGATTGTCATGTGAACGTCCTAGTTTCTTTTTACCGCCCTTTGCAAGAATAATTTATCTCTGTTCATATTAAGATATATTTATTGCATGATGCAGTAGGTCATGAATGCATGGAGTTCCCACAAATTGCCTAGACTGAATAGTTTAATTTTGTAACTTTGAATTATCTGTTTTCATAACATTTCATTTTTCAGGTTTGGCCGTGACTGTAAAGAAACCCAGGAAGATGAACCTCACTCCAGCCTGCTGATTGCTGCACCTAAGGCAACCAACAGAAGCTCTTGGTCCCACACACAAGGAAGTAACATATTTACCGCCACTCTTTCTTCAAGTCCAGCATCTGACCGTGGAGCACTGCGGCTCAAGATGCCGTCCGTGGTCGCCTCCACCCTTAATTGCCCTCGAAACATCAGTGAAGCTGCTGTAATATAGACCGTTCCATGCTTTGAACAAGCCGAAATCTGTAATGTTCTTAAATCGTTTACACCGTCCAATAGTATGCATGCGCTTTCTGGAAAATTAGCTTGCAAGATTTCCCATCGAGCTATCATATAGTTTCTACGTCACCGTTAAGAAGCTATTACTAACATTTGTTTTTGAGCATTTTGGTTCTTCATATGCACAACTTATTTGCGAGACAACGAGACTGTTCTTATATGCGACTAACACGTTATTAATTATGATTCAATGCAACTTAGTAAAAAGATGTTCATGTTACGAGGTTGTTTAATAACATGACTTTCGGACAGTGGTATCTCTACAATTACATAACATAACATAGTGATGTCGGCGCTGAAGTGCCTGATGTGGCCTGTCGCCGATTCTTTTCCTTTTCGTGTCTTGTTCATAGATCTAAACTCGTGTCATTTGACCGGATCTTTTCATGACTGACGATAGTTTGAAGTAGCTACTAGGCTTCCACCGGGTTCGATAAGGACTTTGCTTTTAAGACTTTGTGTGGTACGTTCTGTCATCATGAAACGTTTTCAAGCTGCAGTACGTAAATATCTCACTGTGGGTCATAATAAATAGTACCAAGTTAAAGACTTTTTATTCATAACGAAGTATTTGTATTTCTCGTAACACTAGAACTTATTCCAGCAGTTGCGTCGAAAAGTTGGGAAACAACATAGGTGATCAATGAGTCCATTGGTCTATGCCAGTGGATGAAAAACCATAACTTTTGGAAGTTGACAAGATTTAAAATGAAAGCCTCTCGATATGTCGATAATCAACCTATAGAGCAAAATGTACAGTGAATAGTAAATGTAACAAACTAGTGGGAACAACCTAAGTAGTTAACAAAGATTTGTTCTGCTTTACTGTTCCGTCTAGTAGAGAATTATCGTGAACAGGTATGATAACGAAACATAAATACCGGTTTAATTGATAAAATTTCTTGATGCTCCGTTCCTGACGAAACCAAAATCTATTCGAAGCAAAATTTATTTAACTGATAAATAATATGCGTGATTCTTCAAAGGTGATCGCTTATATGCCTTTTAATTTGAGCAAGTCAAATTGCAGATGCATTAGAATAATGCTTACAAAAGATCTTACGACAAACTTTTTCACAATTTCGAACACCGATTAACTTTGTACCAAAAAATACTAACGAACACATCTTCATTGTAAGATTCGAGGCAGAAATGTTTGTTTGCTGCTCTGTGACCAACGCATATTGGAATAATATCCAGGTACCAGCACATTGTACGCTGTAGAAAGTAAGGCATTCATTCCCTGTGAGATCACGTCGAAGGAGCCTCAAGCACAATTTTGAGTTAATTTACCTACTTAGCAAGTTCGTTCAATTTTTTAAGAGTAGACCGAGAACTTTTTAGCTGTAGTTTCTTGTTCAGCCATCTTATTCGTAAATTCAGCCGCGTGCGAAAGTAAAATCTGACAATTTCATGAGGTATATCGTAGGTTTTATCAACTGTGCTCATTAATTGCGCAATTGCAGCAGGTCCCGGCTTCACTTCAACACCATGGTGCTGTCTGAAGGCACTCTCAAAACCTCTAAAATGGGGAATTGAAGCTCAGGCTTCATGGAGGTGAGGCCACCTTTGCTCACGTGCGCAATCCAACTTCCGGAATCGGCAAGGTTCGAAGAAACTTGGGGGAACTTGTGAGCAATGAACCCGAGAACATATTTAAAAGCTTCCTCCTCATTTTCTGGAACCTCCACAGCGCAATCGGAATTCGTGTCATCATTTGGCAGGCTTATGTTTCTGAAGACATCACTGGTGAGGCATGGGCTTTCTAAACGCGGTGATACTGCTGAAGCACTGGCTAATTGTTTGATTCCGCAAGCAACCACGTCATCGTCAAGTGCGAGCACAGTATTTGGCTCTAAGGCAACAAGAGTTTGCTGTCGTCCAAGAACGTACTTCTTTATGCGGTGCTTGAAATCTAACGGTGAAGGATGGTCGTTTATTGAGCCCATTTGCCTAATGACGCCGAAAAAATTTTCCAGGACGTCTTGATTCAGCCTACCAGTCATGATAAAACTAACTTTGAATTCGGAAAGCAATGCATGATGAAGTTGAACGAGGGATTTCGACGTTATGATAATAACCTTGATAAATGGGAAAACTTTTCCATTAACATTTGCGTTCTCAAAAAAGTTTGTAACTTCATGGAGCAAAGATAGTTGTGACGGGTCTCCTTTGAATGTATTTTGCTTTTGCGTGTACGAATTTGAACAGTTCAAGAGGTCAAACCAGGAGTCCATCATGAGAATAAATTTGGCCGTGTTTCTCCATCTCCGTGACTTCAACTGGCCAGCTTCACCCAAATATTCGAGGGCCTTTCCAACAGTGCGAGAAATGAGTTGGACGGCTGTTTTAACTTTTTGCCTCTGAGTTCCAGAAACAAGCAAGTGGCTTTCATTAATTTTAGAAAAAACGGCTGATTTACCGAGACGTCGAGAGATCTCAACAGACCTTGATTGCTCCCACCAAGATCGCTAACAGTGGCATACACTGGAAAATCCGCCTCCTCAAGTGCAGAAATGATTGATATCAACTTAGTGCGATCCATCTTGCAATCGAAATCGTAAAAAAATTGGTTGTTTCCACTGCCCGATATGCCTCTTGCCATTACCACTTGCACAGATTGATGTGCGTCGTATATGCGGTCAGTGCCTCTGTCGTAGGAGTACATTTGGTTCAGCTTCATCTCGTCGAAAGAAAGCACTGTGACACTGTCTACTGGCGCATCTTCTTCCCTTTGGCTTTCATTATTTTTATGACAACCATCAGCAGACCAGGTTCCAAAGATATACCTTGAACCCAATGGTTAAAAGTTGACACTGCGGGTAGAGGTAGTTTCCAATGTTTTCTCATCCATCTGTAACACTTTGGAGAGAACTGCGAATATTTAGCGCATAAGCGATGTCATCATCAGTCCATGCCGCAATCTTGGTGTTAGGATTTAGGAAGAATTTGATCTTGAGTCTCCGAAAAGTATGGCTTTAGTATACGAGTGAATTTTTTTACAAATACGGACTGCTTATTTTCCTTTCTTGCTGCTTCTTTCAGCTAATGGTTTCCTTTCAAAAGTTGTTTGTTCTCATTTGCCAAATTTTGCAACAGGATTTTATTTTCTTTTGCTTCACATCTCAAATTTAAAAGCTGCTGATGGCATTCCAACAATGTGTTATACATTATTTTTGTGTTCAGCGGTTCACGAACTTGATTGTCGAGAGAAGCTGAAGAAGTGTCAATGACAGTACTAGAAACGTTAGTTTTTGGAGTAGAGGATGCAGCACTGTTTTCAACAAGCGGGTCAGGCAGAGGTTGACAGTGTGTTCGAAAAGGTTCTTGAGACAGTCCTGGAAGAGGTTCTTGAGGCGGTCCTGAGAGATCTTCCCATGATGGTCCTGGCAGAGGTCGAAAAGTCGGTCCTGAAAGCGTTTCGCACGACGGCTTCGGCTGAGGTTCACGAGTTGGTCCTTCGAGTTTGTCAAGTGAAGATCTCGGTAGAGGCTTGCAAGTCGTTTCTGGCTGAGGTGTACCAGATGTTAGCTTAGCCTCGTCAAGAACTTCTGCCCATGCGCAAAATTTTTATAGTTCAGAAATATAGGGATTATGTGATAGACAAGCCTATCTGAAATGAAGGAAAAAAATATCCCCTCAAAGTTATTTATATATTTAATCAGGAGATAGATTTTTACAAAATTGGCCAAGTTGTAGAATTGATTACATCCCGATGTAAAATTTTGATAGTGAATAGTTCAAAGCCTTGAATCAGATTAATATAAGAAGGCATCAGTTATTATGGCCTAGTGAACTGTAATTAATAATAACTAAATTCATGAACAGTTCTGGCCATATCTATGCTCAAAGCCGGTTGGATAGAAAAATTATATTTTAAATCATGCTTCACCAGAGTGAAGTTTTCTGTATCAAATAAATAATAAATTCAAATAAGGACTCGAGCATGAAGTGATACTTTGGCGATGGTGTAGCTATTAATGAGGGAGAAATTGATGTTTTGAATGGAATATTTTCTACAGACGCAGAATGACAGTAAATGAATAAAATTTTCCATACTGTTGTTATATTATGCTCAGGATTAAGAGCAGGTTCCCGCCTGTTGATTGGTGTTATCAAATAAGTCCATGCAGATACCTTATTGTAACACAACCCAGAACTTGCATGTGGCATGATGAGTGAGTAAATAGTATATAAACTCATTCAAAGTATTTGGTTAAAATAATATCATAGTATCCATTAAAGATGAAAATTGTGTCTTTTGATGTCTCGAAGGTATGCCTTACCTTGAACAAGGCTATTCGAGAGTGCTTTGTATTATTTTTTCAACAGCCAAAATATTGCATTTTCTGAACAGTGCACATGCAAGCCTGGCATTCACATTGACCATTGAATAAATAAAATAAAAAGTAAAAAATAAATGTCTTAGAGATCTTAAGCAAGTTAACAAAAACTTACTATTGCAGAGGTGATCAAGAGGACTGAAGTAGTAAGGCCGTGCAAATGGAGGCGCCGTGCCGTGAAGAGCAGTACCGGTACCATCCTGTGCTCTCCTCTTAGCAGGGGCTTCATTCTCTGCAATAAAAATATTTACTCAAAACTGGGTACTTTTCCGCAGTTACCTACATATTTTAATTTATAATTTATTTCAGACCAATAAACCAATACTAAACATAAACTGAACGACAACCAAACAAACCTCAAACAACTTGAAACAAGACTTATGTTATCAGAAAAGCTAACACTGTTTGAAATAAACATGTACACAATTGAAACATTTTATTTCCATTCACTGCGGTATATTTAATTATTTTATGAATAGTTTTATAATTGTAATTGTTTTGTTTCTAGTTATAAATTCACATATTTAAAGATTGAAATTAAATATTTTAATTAGAATACTCATATTACAGTGGAAAATCTTTTTAAATGCCTAAAGGGTCAATACAATTACAATCTCAACCAACCCTTCTTATATAAGCTAGGTAACACATTTAAATTGTACAATGTAATTAATATATAACAAATAGTCAAATAGTTAGAGACTACTTATAGCCTTATAAGAATTAGCTTAGCTGCTAGCTACGTACAATGTATTGCAACACTGGATGCCTGTGTAGCAAAAACATACAATTCATTAAAACCAAATACACACTAAAGGCAACAGGTTTATATACCAATTTGTCTTAGTACATTCATACTGAACCATAAATAACATACCTCAAAATAAATGAAAGACAGCCACTCTATATATTTAAATATATAAAAAAATAAAAAAAAACTGATTTTCTATAAACTAATCAAATGATTTAATCTGTTTGATTTAATCATTGCCAACCCTGATATTTTTAACCTTCAATTTCTTCATTAGGGTTACATAATATACATGAAATTATTGATACTCAGAGGCTACCATTAAAAAAATCAATGCATTTTCCCAATTGTTGTGTGAAGGTGTTTTATAACTTACCATCATTATCCAATATCTCATGAGCTAAGCGTTTCCTCTCTCTTCGGTCAAATCTCACAGCCCGGGAAGAATTAGGCACTGTTAATTGATAAGGACATGAATAAATAACTGAATAACATGCTCAACTATCTTTTTGTGAATAAATTATACATTCATGTAATAAAGAATATACTATATATTGGACACACTAGATTAATTTATTCACAGCCAAGCTATTAGCCATATCCCATATCAAATTCTGTAAGAAGTACAACAATGCACTGAAGAGTGAATAGATTAGTCATCTTATACATACATATTTTAGAGTGTGTTCAATGTATGTGTGCCAATGGTGATTTCCCACAATATTTCAATGCCTCAAACCAGATTATGGTAATTACACAAAAAATGAGAGAATGCCAAACAAAACTAAGCAGGATTAAATAAGGACCATAAAATTTCATAGTTCACAATTGCCGTTTCAATCCTTAAACACAGTATTCAGCACGTAATTGAAACTGTATGTTCTGTCCTTGTCCTGCATTGCATGAAAGTTCATTGTTCCTCATTACTCATAGGTTGAACTAATGAAATAAAATATCTAAAATTAAATCAGATTTCAGCCATTCAAAAACTCACACAAAAGATCCTTGAGGTTCATAACCTCAGATTACTTAAAAAGAAACACAAACATCATTATCATGATTCATACCTCTCAAAAAAGCCTGAACATATTTTGCACAACAATTTACAGGAGCAATGCAACTTTCACATAAAAGTTGCCACAAGTTAGACAGGTACCAACTACCAAGGTAGTCAAAATTTCATTACTTAGTTACTTACCAAATTTTGTAGAATCATTTAGCAATTAGCAATGTGGGTGGCAGATGCTGATCTGGAACAGCATCTTCTTTCAAATTGCGGTAGGTCTTGTCTCGATTGATGCCACACAGCTCAAATCTGAAGTCCCTTTTGTACTGTGCAGTACTAAAATGTTTTCCACAAATTCTTGAGTGCTTCCAGCTATCAACACCAAAGTTTTTTTGACCCGTGCGCAAAATCCACTGATTTTTATATACTTCACTTCTTGGAAATGAGTGAAGCTTATACGCCTTATTTCATGAAGAAGTTTCACAACCCAGTACGGAGCAGATGGTCATGTTTAGTTTTACTATGTAATGCCAAGACTGTAAGACAACTTAAAAATTTAAATGGCAATGAATTTGAAAAAGGGGTTTCTACAGCTTCAAGTGAGTTTTAAATATCTATCATAAGTCTGTGGTATCTGTGGAATATTGAGAAAAAAAATATCAATGAATTATGATCATTACATTACAGTGCTTAAAGCCTTCCAACATCCTCAAATCAATGCATAATAGCCTACACAGTAGGCTAGCACACAATGAAGGCTCAAGGCAGCAGGTAGAAACTACCAGCCTACCACAACTCCACAAGTGGACAGTCCCAAGGGCCAAATTACAAATCGAGCTTCACTGCCCAATATAGAACAATGAGACTTCTGCCGGATGAATTATTTACCTCCCATCTTATTGACTGTTATTGTATGTGAATTATGCTGCTTTTGTTTTATGCATATCCTTGATAATCCTTCTCAGACTCATGTGACAGAAAGCTAACGACTAACGAGTGCAGTAGAGTAAAGTTTCATCAAAACCAAAAATAATATTTAAAGAATAATTACACTACAAATTATTGGCCACTGACCATCTGACATCCTTTTCTTACTTCTCTACACCTTCTACTAGCACTTGGCTTAGTTGGCTAGTCACTGTCATCATGAGTGTCATGCCATGGAGTCACAGTCTGTCAGAACACAGCAATTTACCTCATGGGAAATAATTATTGCATTTACACTCTCTTTAATCTATCATTATTACTTCAAACACTTGATTTTCCTAACGTAAATCTTTCGCCAGTATTCTATTAGCCTCCTACAAATACTACAATAACTACAATCTACAGCACCAAAAATGTTTCATACCGCATGACGCTTACCGGCTTACGCCAGAGACAGCAACATTGAGAGTCCGTTGTATCATTTTCAGGATAGCATGACAAGTAATCAATGAACCAAATTATACCATTAAAAAAATTATTTATAGCAAAGATGCACGGATATTCTTGGTTAGCTTTTGCCTTTCGAAAATGAAAATTCGTTAGAATTGCGCTTCCTTTCATCGACCGTTAGCTGAGTGGCAGCCATTACTCCTTTCTGCCCAACCCTTGTCTGTCGGCCCATAATGTTTCTCATTTATTTAATTTACACTCCACGAAACTGATTTGTAACACCGGCTTTGCTTAAAATAACACTTGTTGTAGCAAATACAGTTTTTTGGGCCATTTTGAGGAGGTCAAATTTTTTTAATTTCTTTTCAAATATGGCACAAAAACAACGTGTTGATCTCCACTGTTTACATTTTTGGCCCACGTTGACGTCACACGAGACATGCGCAGAACGGCGAAAAAATCGTCGTCGCCGTGGGTCAACGTTGTATTAATTCAACCATGAGAACTCCCTTCGGATGATCAAGGTGAACAGACTATTTCTCTAGAACAAAATGCTAGTAAAGATCGATATACAAAGAAATTAATGGAAAAATGGGTACAAATTTAACAGAACAAATACAAGATATAACTGTCGAATGATAGCAAAAAAATATAAGGAAAATCGCGGTAAAAATATTCGAGACGCATGAGGGCTCGGCTACAAGAAGAAGTCCAGTACACCTGACGTGTCTGGAATCATATGTTCGGCACCACTGTTTGTCGTAGTTCACTAATGATAATCTAATAAAATTTTATTGATACAAATACGCTGTTTTGATCAAGAACAGATATCAATTTTCCCTCAAGAAATTGCTTAAGGAGATAACGCTTTCGCAAAGGAATATGGCGCGAAATTTTATTTACCACGTCAATATCTAACACGCAAAAACAAAGTCATTTCATACGAAAAATGTAAAGCATACTGGATTGGCTGGACCTAGTCACTGAGAGGATCAGTTATTCGTTCGATAGATGAACTTAAGAAAACAAAACTAATATTGAGCAAATTGTTGCTTGCGATTTCATTGAGGGAAATATTGCATATTGCAATAAGAGCTTTTATACAGTAATGAGGAAATATAATAATGCTCATGATTATTTAAGTAGATTAATATTATCCAAAAAATTAATGGTTTATTGGATGTCTAGGCGTAGGGGGTAATCATCAGTCCCCTCGAGAACCAACTGTCAAAAAAATAATGACATCGCTTCTCGTTAATAATTGGAACATAAAATAAGGCAAAATCTTCGTCGATGGCATTTTGCATCTGCGCCAAAAAAATAGATTTCTCGAGAATAAATTAAAACACTTGGACGCAAAGACAGAAGTAATAACGAGCTTGATTTTTTTAGCATCAAATCAGACATTATTCAATCAAATTTCATTTTTCATTAAATTTTGCATGAATAATCAACTCTTTTTCCGTGCAATATCATAACAATGAACCCCCTTGACGATCAATATTCTTGATTGTTTCAAATCAAGTTAGTAAATAAAGAAAATTTCTTTGCGGTTCTTAACACATATAAGTCGTATGGGCTGATCATTTACCTGGCAACGGCCGACCGCGTCCAGTTCAGAGAAATTGTCGTGCTGGACGTCACTTATATATTAGAGCTATAGGATGAAACACCGATCAATGAGGACGCGTTTGTGACGAAGTGGAAACACCACAGCGCCGTGTGTTGCTGATGCGGAATCGTGAAGATTAAAAGACTTCAGGGAATCAGTGCACACGGTCTACTGGGAGGCAGTCTCGGTACCTAGGCTACTATATAATGGAGCTCTTGCTTCACATTATCTTGCTTGTAGCTCTTGTTTCACATAGGTACTATAGTGCGATGGTCATCATTATATTTTAAGTGACAGAAGGAAATTATGCTGTGAAAATAAAGTCCCTGGTGACACTTACGAAGTCTAATGTAAACTCATCTTGAAAAAGTTTTTGTTTGATTTTATTCAGAATGTGTGCGATATACATGTATCACTCAAGTGTCTTATTTCACCTCCAATTTGAAATTGTCATTCTCAATTTACCAAGGAATTACTATTTCTAATGCCTTATCTGACCATAATTTATATGTATTTAGTAGTAATTAAAGTGTGCAATTGTGGTAATTGTAGTTGCATATTCATGTAGAACCAGTGAAACTGCGCTCCTCATGATACATTTGTATGACGTAAACAATATTACGTCAGTTTATGTTTCGGCTTGTACCTCCTCGGTTGTTTGAATAATCTACGAACTGCTCACTTTAATTCCAACACCTGCGGAATTAACAGCAAGTTTGTTATACTGCCGCATGATTGGGTTAACGGATATAAGTTTGCTTCAAAATATGACATGCGTTCTATATATTATTGTGAATAAAATTTTCGGAACCTCCGGAATAGTATACATAATGTAACACAAAAAATAGCGTGGGGCTTCAACATGACTCCCCAGTGATCTGGGTAACACTTCAAGTGTCTCGAAACCTTAATACGACTAATCCGATGTATGTTGGCGCTTGGGTTATATAGCCGCCAACTCTGCATATTTCTCCTCCCCTGAGTGGATAAAGTGGGTTGGGTTTGTTGCGTGAAGCTTGCAAAATACTCGCAACACTAAGTTAAGTGATGAGTATAGAATTTATGATTATACTGCCTCGTCATTTCCAGAACCGGATTAAAATTACAAAAAAACGCAAGTGAGCCATAAATTAGTTTCGTTTTTAGTAAACAAATATTGAATTTTTATCATAAATTCTAGCCAAAACTGCATTATTTGTTGACTCTACAGATGAAACAGTGAGCATATAAAATAATTGAATGATAAAGACATTTCAGTGGAAGATTTTTACTTGATATGCCACGGCAAGTTCTACTAATATATTATCTGTATAAAGAATACATATGACAAACCTAAATAAGTCGAATGAGAAAAATGGCGCATGCCAACAGGTAAAATATGTAGACGTTCATCATTCGATTGATGGATTTCATACAAGTGCCAACATACTATTAATTAATGCAGAAAACTCTTTCGCTGGAGATTACCGAAGACAAACATCCTATCGTTGACCATGACATATAATCAAAAGAATTTGACTTCGAACATTAAGCAATTATCGTTAGAAGCTCTCGTGCAGGCGCCGTTGTCACGTCATAAAGCGACTGTCGACTCTGCAGGCTTTTCTTCGCCTAACCGCTGACGGGCGGTACAGCGCCGCTCCATTTAGGAGTTGACCGAAAACCGCACTTTAACAGCCAGCATCGAGCGGTGCCGATCAATTAAAAATTTAAATTTCTCCGATCAATTTAATTTTGCTCACATTATTGGACTAAAAATTCAAGTGCAAATTTAGAAAAAAATAAATATGAGTGAATTGTGATTTATACTTCGAAGTCAATGTAACTCAGCATAAGCAACACGGAACATCAATGTTTCTTTCACAATATGGTCCGAGATACGACTGCCCGGTACTTGTAGACAAGTAATCCTCATATTCCTGCACTTCATAAAATAAGACGAATTTTTCTGCATTCGATATGTTAAGATTTCATCTGAAAATGGGTTAGATAGGGCAGAAATTTTTCATCCTGATAAGATCAGGCATCCCACAAAACCTGTTTACTTCTACTCAATAACTACGAATCAGTTCTTAAGAACGACGCAATCAGTTCTTAAGATAAGCATTTAATCAAAATCAGGTGGGAAAATTGTGTTGTGTTGTATTGGACTCAATAAGACTAGCTAGAAGCTCAATTGTCTGGGGGAGCTCATGTATACAATAGCAACTCAAATCGGCACGACGAGGA